ATTTCGGTGGTTTTTTTCAAATATGGAAAAGCCTTCAAAACGCTCTTATTAAGCTTTGGAGGCTCCAGAGGCTCCATAAGGGCTTAATAAGGGCGTTCTTAAGGCTTTGCCGTATTGAAAAAGACCACCAAAATAAGAAATTGAGGGGCTCGATTTCTTAAGTTTAAGAATTTGAGGGGCTCAATTTCTTATTTTGGGGTGTTCTGGCCGGCGCAAGAAAGTGTCCAGCTGTTGGAATACGAGGTCGAGTCCCTTAATTTCTTCTCCTTTTTGCGCGAACAAAAAATGGCAAAGACAAAATGAGAAGAGCAAAATATGAAATTGGCACGCCGAGGTCAGGGTACCTGGATTTCTTATTTTCAATTTGTGCAGTTTCGATTTTTTGTTTCGTCGCGCGGCTGTCCGAGGGGCTCAATTTCTTAAACCAGTGATTTCTTAAGCAGTGCTGTTGCTGTAGTCACTGTAGTTGAACTTACCATAATGGGGGTATGCAGCACCAGTACGCTTAACTTAAGTTAAACTCCTCGACAAGAACCCCTTCTGGGCATGCCGTCTTCGTCTCAGGCGTTTCATCGTGGCCACCAGCACCTGCCCGACAGACAGCTCGCCTTGGGCCTAATCTAGAGCTTTATATGGGAGATGTCCTGGCGTCGTTACTTTCAGAAGCTCGAACATGGCTTGACTTGGTGACCCCTGAGCCGTGCAGTGCTATTTATTGGCAGAGTCCAGGGGACCTATTTACAGTTTGCTTGACCCCAGGCTTGAGGATTGTGGGAGGAGCTGCCAGACCCACTCTTAGGACGCCTTCGACATGACTCACATGTCAAGTTCCGGCAGCACAATTCACGAGACACCCGAAGAAGCCAGAAGCCACAACACCCCTGCCAAATTCCAAGCTCTTCGGAGCGAAGGGAATGATTTACGAGTAATGGGAGCGCCAGCGCCTTGGACAGTGGGTTTAGGGTTTAGGGGTTTAGGGTTTAGGGTTTAGGGTGAAGCTATATGGCCGGAAGCGAAGCAGACGAAACATTGAAGTGAAGACACAGGTACAGGCCCGATCCAGGCTTTACAGGAATCCTGTCACGGCTGGACAAGAATGTGCCCAGGAAACTTGCGTGCCAGCACCGAGAGAGATGTGTGCATGTCTTCGATCTTTTACGAATCATGCCCAAAAGCTCATCGAGTTAGGGTCTTCAGGTTGGTTTGTGCTACACCGGGCTCTCAGGTCATGGAGAACTTGCGACACTGCTGTCGTGTCACGACGCTTGTGACTCAAAGGGTCCCGGCAGGTTTTGGTGTTTTGGGAGCCCAGCACATTTTTTCGCTTGCCTCCCCACGCTGCTAGTGTCTGACATGAAGCTTCAGTCACCAGCAATGGCCCACAGCCCCGGGAACCATCCCCACAGCTACCCAAAACCCCTCAAAAGCCTCAGGGACCCTAAATGTTATAAGGGAGGCCCCCAGCCGCCTAAGAAGGCCCGGCCTTCGCAGTTCAGGCGAAAAACCCACGAAAAAGGGATCTAAATAGTAGGATCCTTCTTATAAGAGCCACAGAGACTCCCAGGTCGATCTCGCTGGATCATCCCGAGTACAAGACGCGTTACCAGCTCTATGGGATGCTGCAAGGCAAAAGCCGGGGCCGCAGGGACCAAGGGCACATGTGAAGAGGACCAAGGGCTAGAGACTCGGCCTCATTCCAGAAATCTGCCTCATTCTGCATTGTAGGACGGAAGGGTCAAGAAAATTGTCTGCTGTTCCTGCTGTTGACGGTTTGTCGCAGAAGGTGCTGAACAATTTGAACATGGCTTCGTTGTCGGGAATTGTTAACATCGTCGACCTCAGCACTATCCAGAGCCAGGTTGGAGGCAATATAGGTTGAGAAACGCTCAGGTGTCGAAGCCCTACGTCGGAAGTATGTTCGCCTGAAGCGTCAAAGATGGCCCATGACTCCCAAAAACACTTCTCCGGTCCCCAGGCATGACCCCGATGCTGCCTGAGATGCCCGAGGGGGAAGAACCGCAGGACCTGGTTGTTGATGGGTGTGGGTCCCATCGCGTCTATTCCAGCTGCAACTGCAGCTGACATTTATGTTTGCCTGCCAAAGCTGCTGCTTTGAGTGGCGAGGGGTGAGCTTTTGCGAAAGTGCTGCTTGGTTGGACCTGTTCCCACAGGTAATGCTTTGTGGTCACCAGCAGAATCGGAAGCACAAAGTTGGTTGCATATAGCTCATTGTAGCGTATATCAACTTTCATCGCAGGCATTCGCTGTTGTATGCTGTCAAATTGTCAATACTGGGGTTTCCAATTTCTTCCAGAACTGGAGCACTCACTTGTGGCAAGCAGGATGGTGCTTTGTGAGACGACTCTGACGATGGTCGAATTTGAAAGTGACTTGTTGTTTTCAGTTTCTGGAATCTGCGTGCTTCTAAGTTATGTGAACTAGGATGCAAGATCGAAGCATCTTGAGGGGGAGCTCTGGCTCAAACATATCTTCCTTACCAGGCTGCAGAACATCTGTTGCCCTGCGTCCGAATCCCGAAACAACATTCACATCGTGAGCGTGATGTTTTAATTCTGTGCACCTATGGCATTTGCCAAATTAAGTCGCATCTGAATTTGATGCTGGTCGGCGTACGACTACTGGGTGGTTGCATCTCCGTGGCGTTGATGGCTGCCTTGAAGGTCATCATAGTAGATGAGAGTATAGCCATATAGCCGATATAGCCAATAGGACAAGTTGGTCGATGGAGTCGTGCCTCAGGGTTTGGCAATCCATCTTAGATCTACGCCACATTATGACCTTCAGGGGGGCCAGCCCTTGAACTGAACAGACATGGTCGTTTCTAACCTTGGGGTGCCCAGAGATGCCAAGACACTTCCAATCTGAACTGCTCTTATTGGACTTCGGAGAAATCGGAAGTGCTGGTGGAAAAGCTGTTTTCAAGTTGGCCCGTTGGGGCCGCCTTGCATGCCTCTCTATGCGGAACCGGTAGACTCAGGGTGGCAATGGCTCGACATCGGCTACAGCATGATGCAATATAGTTCTGGCGAGAATCTCACCACATGCAAGTAGATTCCAAGCACCTTTGTCGCACGTGTCCCGTCAGGCTTTCAGTCGATACAGGATGTCGACCTTCGTTCGCTCAAATCGCCACATGGCTTCTTCTGGGGTCCTGACTACAGGGTCAGGTGCCGACTCCAAGCCAAGCAGGGCACAACTTTCTTTATGATGCACACACCTAGATCTCTTCACCAGAATGTGCTTTCAACACCCCTTTTCCAACCATCTCTCTACCGCAGCCTTCCTCTCTGGCAGACAAGTGCCCCCGCAATATGCAGCCAAGCAAACCCCCTGTGCGATCTTTATTCTAATTCAGAAGAACACGGCACTGTGTCCCCAGCAGATTATTCCCTGGACCTTTGGGATTCACGCAGAGCTCTGTCGCACTACAGCTTGAGAATTTGGGATCCATGATCTGCTGGGAATCCCCGTAACTATGTCCTACGATCGGGTGAACCCACTGCAGTAAAACAGTTTCGAGAAGGAAGCGACAACCTTGCTACAATATTCCCAGATACTTCTAGCTTAAGTGCCCGTGCTTGCTGATACCGTGTCCAGATAACAGACATATGTTCACTCTAGAAGCCTAGTAGGCGAGACTTTGTCTATGCCATGCAGAGACTCTCGACCGGGCGATGAGCGATGTTCTGGAGCTTCTTTTGCCTTTGTGCATCGAAGCTCGTCACCGAAGGGTTTGCGGGCTTCGTGCGTTTCGCGCATCTGGTGAACCTGTTACCCTTCGAAGACCCGGGTCAGAGAGTGGCCATCTCGAGCTGGCTGAACGCCAAAGATGCGGCAACGGCTCAAGGCATCGACGTGTCTCTGCACACAGTGGAAATCGCGGGGGAGACGGGGGTTTCTATGCTGCGTTTGGAGGGCCTGCAGATGGAGCTAGCCCTCAGAATGGCAAACCCAGGGTCCTTGACCTGACCCTGATGCCAGACGCTTCATCCCGGACGCTAGCAGTGGAGTAGGCGCAAGAATCCGTAAGAAGCCAACAACGGTCGCCTGTCGTCATTCTTGCCACGTTTACGGGTTCTTGTCTCGTGTGTAGCAGAGACCAACTTGCGGACCCAGGTTTGGCGTCCAACGCCTTCCTTCCAACGCCTTCCAGACCTCACGCGCACGACACGCCAGGCCAGGCGGGCCTACTCCGGTCGTGCCCTTGCAAGCCCGATCCCTATGCCGACACTCCACCAAGTGACAGTTCAAAGCCTCGGATGGTTGCTGCAGTTTGCTGATGTGCCTCTTGCATGGGGCCTTATTTCCAACCAAGGGCTCGCCAACTTGCTTGTCACTGTCACCCAGTACTCCTAGAGTGTCTCACACTTCTCCATTTTGGACGGGGCTGGGCGTGCCTGTGCCGTTGCAACCACAGCTCCTCTCGCAAGTCTAGCACCCGCAGGTCATTCTGGATCCCATATTTCTGACATTCATGCTCAGAGCGGTTGTAAACGGTTGTAACTTGGAGTTCGAGGTGTCTTAGCCTTATGACATTGTTGAAGGTAAACCTTGTATTGTTTGAAAATTTTGTTCTTTAGGGTTTGGGATATGATTTTAGCTACAACCGCGGTTTCATGTATGATCTTACAGCAGGGTTCAGATACGATGCACGGCGGTCCACGCTTACTGACAGCTATTAAGAGTTTTTGGCCGACCGCAAGCCGTTCGGTAGAGGCTAGGACTCAGAATTTTACGACCTAAAGCACAAACGTGCTTACCGACAAGAATATGATCAGGGTCCTGGGAGGGATGTGGGGTATGGGGCAGTGGTCGTACCTGGGGTTGCATTTTGATTCGTATTCCGGGTCTAGGATCGTACTCGACCGGTACTCGGGTTGGCGCGGGTGCCGGAGGTCGCGCTTGAAATCGAACTTGGGTTCGTGGGGGATGGGGATCTGTTGCAAATCGTACTTCGGAATCGTACCTGAAAGGTCTCCGAACCCAGGTTCGATTTCAGGTACGATCTCCAGCACCTGCGCCAACCCACATACGATTCAAAGTGCATCCCGCCGCTCTGCACCCCGTCTCCTGCGCTCGCTCCAGCCCGTCTCTTCGAAAGTTGATAGTACACTCCAGCCTGCGATTATTCGAAGATCATATACTCAGAGAATCCTACCCAAGATAGTCTGTTGAGTTCGTAAAAATGCACATGTACTCAGATTCGTATTCGAGACCGTCCTTCGAAATGACTGTCCTTCGAAATCGCACTGAGGGCTGCACATGTACTCAGAATCGTAGTCGTGCTCGGTACTGCACTTTGAACTCGTGCTGGCATTCAGAATCGTATTCGAGACTGTACTGGGAAACCGTGCTGAAGACTCTACTTCTACTGGGCACGTGTATTTCAAACCATACTTCCTGGATTTACACTTGGCTGTCCGTGGATGTCACAATCTCAGCGCCGTTAGTCCCAAGTGTAGGGCTGGATGTCCGACCAACCAAAGACCACCGACGTTCGCAAGTTACTGAGATGTCAAAGATCAGGACCATTTGCACAGGGCCACCGGAGGTTCCAAATCCCCTCAGTCCAGAGGCCACTGAAGAGATTCTGAGAGGATGCCATGTCCAGGTCATGGCCACCGTCTTTGACGACGCTCCCAATCTGCCGCTCCTACGTGACGTCTTGGAGAGGGCCCTTCTGCTGCCGGCGGAATTCGTCGTGCTGATTCTTGTGCGCATGACCAGTACCACTGCCACCATGTGTAGATGAGAATCTGGACGCAGATTCATGCTTCTGTCACTTCTGTCTGCACTGTGCTCTAAAGATCTCTAAAGTACTGAAGCTCAGCTGAGCTTGCGAAACGCAGCAAGCACATGCACTTTCAGGACCACGGCAGACATCGGCCTTGTCCCCAACTTCTACTCTGAAGTCCTCGGGATCCTTCGCCAAGCACCAGTGAAAGCGCTCAGCCCCTTGGCACGGGCGAAGGGAGCCATCGCCCATCATCGCTCAGTCCGTCAGAGCTGGCTTGAATTGACCGTTTCTGAGACCAGGCATCAACCGGGTCGGGATCGGCAACTGGAGCAGCTTTGTCCCCAAGGCGACTGCAGAGGCCTGGACGTCGTTCCGATTCACCCATGTCTTCGTGATGGAGGCTTACAGGTGCGGCTCTCGACAGCTATGTATCTCTTTCTCGAGCGGTAAAGCTCATCTTCTCAGAATGCTGCATTCAGCCTCCTGCCGTTGAGGACCGAGGCAAACCTGGCTTAATTCTGTGGACATCGCCTGTGTAGGTCTTGGTCGGCAACGTGTCAACCCCTTCGTTGTAGACTGGTTTGCTGGGACTCAAGTATGCGACTGCGGACCAGGCCGTCAAGCTTGGACCGATACTGGAGCTTTCGAGGCACTTTTCGCAGCAGCTCGGAGCAAGTTCGTACATTCCTTCTCTGTGGTGTATTGCGATAAGCCTTGCTTCACCTTCCAGCGATTTACAGCTGGTTTCAGTGCACTCCTAGCTGGAGTCTTGGTGTTGATTCCAAGGCGCTCACTCTTGAGGTATCTTGCGGAAGTGACATGATCCCACACTTCCAGCGAGCAGTTGCTTCGTTGGCTGTTGACTTCTTAGTTCCAGTAAAGGGAGGGTGGCTCTTAGTATAAAGACCTGGCTTCGAACTTCTTGTCGAAACTGCCATGCAAGCCGCTGTTGAGCATACGAGTTGTGACCTGCCGCCATGAAGGATGGCTCCCAGCTGTGAGCACGAAGAAAGGGTCCGGCGTTTGTGTGTGCGTGTGTCGCCGGTTGGGTTAGCTAGTCGCTGGTCTTTTCATCGGTTCACATCCTTGCATTCATCGTCTCTCTTTCATTCGATGTGAAGAAGACCTCGCATCTCCTCTACACCCACGCCCAGTGCCCTTCTGTGCAACAGTCTTTATGGGACTGTCTGTAGCCTTTCATCATGATCGTGTAAGCTTATCCTCATGCTACACTACTCGTCATACTCATAGCAGTCGTAATGGAAACAGTGCTAGTATCGGCAATAGATAGCACTAGTAACAAGTAAGTACGCATGATCGCAATCACAATCATAGTCATCGGCATCACAAGCTAACAATCAGCATGCATTGTGCTAATCATTGCAAGTATAGCAACATTGAGACTAGAGATTCATGGTCATGGAGTTCCAGGGTTGGTTCAGACGCCCCCCAGGCTACATCCTGGTAGCGATTGTTTCGTCTTCGAGCGCGCCACTGCGCTTAAGCTGCACCCAACAGCGAGCGGAGTTTTGTGGAATGCAACAGACCACAGCAGACCCCCAACATAGACCCTAAATAGTAGGATTTTCATCATGAGAAGTGCGACTTTGAGACAAGCAGTCTTGAAACCTCCAAATGGCAGCTGCTATCGCCGGGCTGTGTTATTTCGAGCAACAGGTCAGCTCGTCATGCTTCCCCAGACATGGATTTCGGAAGCCGTAGTGCCGTTCGTATGGAACGGAACACGTCAAGAGACCCCATGGTTGATCTGCATGTGGCATGGGATGCGTGTAGTGGTTCGAGATGTTTAGTTCAAGGTCCACTGTGTGCGAGTGCCGAACAGAGGGAACGCGGCTACCCCACAGTAAGAAATGGACTCCTTGTTTTGCAAGCTCGGACGTTCGAATGTCTTGGTTGGGGTTGGTGTGGGGTGGCGGTTGGCTGTAGTGTGCGTTCGCCCTTACTGCTCGTCCGAAGCTTGCCCTGAACAAACCAGCCGTCGCTTTCCGCTGAAACATGTCCTGGGCATGGTGTCCAAGTCGGACATGATGCAAGGACGCGGCTCAGGGTGCGTGGCATACTTGCCCAAGAGCACTTGAATCACCTGACATGCCAAGCCCTCAAATCTCCATTGAGGTGGAGCGGATGATCCCGGCAGTCGGCTACGTCTTCTTTGGCCAAGCACCGTTTGGCCAGCTCATGCTCGAACCATTGCAGAAGTCTTCGGGGTTTCCGTGCCTGTTTGGGAGTTCGAACACGAGGATCCGACAATCTGCTCTGAGCAAGGGACCAGGGATTCTTTATGGTGTCTCCCAGCTTTTCTACGCACTTCCGACCTGTGCGGGCACCTCAGTCCCAGAGCCTGGCGCCCTTCCCCACAGCCCACAGCAGTCTCTAGACTCAAGATCTTCAGAAATTCCATGCCAATGTCGGGAAGCCTGCTTCACCTTCCATCATACTTGGCAGGTCACGATAGCAGGCGGCCCCTGACACCGCCGGGTTCTGTTTGATACGGGTAGTTCCCTAAACTAGGGTCCCTGTTTAGGTCCCCAACATAGTATGGCACCCCCACAAAAAAGGAGCCCCAAAGGGACCCTAATTTAGAAAGCTACCCATACACTGCTCCAGCACTGACTCCCAGGAGGCCATGAGACACGCCACCGGCCGTGAGCCTATGGAGCCTTGGCTGTTGGCAGTTGTGGTCGACATGGGATGACATGGGCAGGGTTAAGTTCAAAGTTTAGGGTTAATGATGTGGGGATTTGGTATTTGTTTTCCTGGTTTTTGGGCGTGCACTGGCCGTAAGCCCCGATACCGCAGGTTTCGTGGGCCTGTGCATGCAGTGTCTTCTTCATGACGTATCTTCAAGCGTCGGTCCCCCGGTCATCCCCACGAGTGGCAATTGCCGCAGGAGTCACAGGAACAAAGGTTGAAACACTCCTGGCCTGCAGGCAGAAAAGTTAGCATGTCGATATTTCTAGCATGACTTCATGTATCCATCAATCTTTCCATTCTTGACATGTCCCGGGCGGCCCAACTGGGACAGAGCACGTGACAAATTGATGCATGGCTTTACGGCAGAGGCATGCTTCTGAGATCCCGCAGGTCATCGCGCGACGCAGGTTGACGTTCCACCTCGATCCGCTCGAGGTGAATCGGAACTTCGATTGGAAGGACCGAGATGAGAGCTGTCACTGCGACATTACAGGGGCAAGACATGGCAAGACCGTGCCGGGGCTTGCGGAGAGACTGCCAATCCTCAGTCGAGACCTGATTGCAAGACCTGATTGCACAATGCGTGCTGCACAGGACAGGTCCCACAAGAGCACGGAATTGCTGGCGCTGAACAACATGGCCGGCTCGGGAGTGAGAAGCAGAGGAAGCGAGAGCGAGGGAGAGGCACAACCAAGCCGCGCCGGACGAGACCCATCTGGCGCTGGGTGATGTTGAAGATCTGAACCTTGTACAACAAAGTCTCCAACAATTGCGATCCACGGTCAGCATCACTATGTTTAGCCACAAAGCAAAGGCATGCGATCAACCCCTGCGCAGGCAGGGTTTGGTCTTTCTCCGGGCAAGCTCATGTTTCAGAATCTCGGACTGCATTTACTCTGCCGCTGGAAGGTCGGAGCCGTCCGACGGCACAGGCCGCCCCTGATGCCGCCATTGCTTGGGACGTTCTTGCTGTAAATGCATCATTGGTGGTGGAGCAACTCAGGAGCCTTCCAGATTCCAGTGCCGTACTAGAGCGTGTCCATCGACACTTCGTGGTTCCCGGGGAGGTGGACTTGAACAAGACGGGCACAGTGGCTGCGTTTACACTGCAGGGTGAGTCCAGTCTATTTGGATTGTCGCATCTGACCTGGCGCCTGGGAGGTTTAGTTTAGACTGCCCGGCAAAGCTTGACTCAGCCCAGGTTACTTTGTAGATTTGGGCCAGTGCTTCTCGAAGAATGGCACCATCAGCACCTTGGATGGCTGGTTGTGACGAAGAGACCAACTGAAAGCCCATTTATCGCGTGACTGTAGAGGTGTAGTATGGTGTAGTTGCTAGTCGTAGTTGCAGCTCCGCTGAATATCCTTCCAGTCGCTCAAGGATTCCATCAGTTCTGCAGAACCCTCGTCCCATTGCGAACTACGTTGCATACTTGGGCACGCATCTTGCATTAATGGCAGTATCTTCACATGCCCTGTCGCAACAAAGCCTGCCTTCAAAACCAAGCTGTCGCAAGTCGCTGGAGTGTATGTGTATTCGTCGAACGGCAGGTGGAGTGGCGCTGGTGGCGATGTGTACATCTCCCAAGGAGACCACAACTGTCAGCCGGCTGCAACCGAATCCCCTAACAGCAGCAACAACATCAACATTAACGTTACTCGCTCCGGTACTGCTATGGCTCATCAACTGCATGGCCTTTGTTTGAAGGAATGTTTTTGCTTGTCAACTAGTTGTTCACTTGTTTCCAGACGTGCTGATCCTTGTGTCGAGACAAGTTTGCTGATCAACTCATCTTCTCCTGTTTCTAGACAAGCTTGCTCATCAACGAATCGCCCCTGCCAGGCCCCTGCTTCTAGACAAGCTTGCCGAACAACTAATTGCCCACTGTTTCCAGGCAAGTTTGATCAATTAATTGTCCCCCGCTTCAAGGTAAGTCCAGGTGTTTCCAGACAAGTTTGCTCATCAGCTACCTGTCCCAAGTTTGCTGATAGACTAGTTACTAGTTGTTCACTGCTTGCTCATCGGAGGGATAGCAAGGTTTGTCCTTCGAGCTGTTGTCGCCGTTTGACAGTTTTCGGCTTTCGGTCGACCAGTGGCTTGCCTTTACAATTTGGCTCTTTTTCGCAGTTTTACGGTTTTCTGTAGGGGGTCTGCAGTTCTACCTTGGTCGCTGTCTTTACACCTTTACCATTTTCAGCCGCTGTTTATACGGTTTTACAGTTTCCGGTACTCGTAGCTGGCTCATTTTTGCAGTTTATTCGCAGTCAGATATTCTCAGTCGGTGCCCTGGTTCTGCACTTCGACCTGTCGCGTATCTTCGCCGTTGTACGGCTCGGTGGTTGAGAATCATCTACCAACGTAATAAGGTATAAAAATACAATGTGTCCTTTATTGGGTTTTTCGCGAGGTGGTTTACTGTGGCATCAACATTTATGCGCTTATGCGAGTTAACGCTTCTATCGGTGCCGCCCGGTCGAAAGTTCGACCTCTGATTTTTCAATTTTGCCGTGTTCGCTGCGCGGTTTCATGCCCGTTTCAACAACGCCAGGCCAGCACAGTGAGCTAAGCTGCTGATCATGCTGTAAGGACATCAACACGAAAAACAGCAACACCACCACCGACACCCCCACCACCCCCGCCCACCACCAAAACCACCACCGCCACCGCCACCGCCGCCGCCAGCACCACCACCACCACCACCAACACCATCTAAACAGAATGAAATGAGAAGACCACTTTTCCTTGGGCCTTGAAGTGTGGCAAACTCCGGCCGTTGTTCGCAGGTGCTGGGCATCGACCTCTTTCACATGGTAAACTCGACGACTGCCCGATTTCGCGGCCGGCGGAGAGTCTTCGTACCCTAGCTCACAAATTATGGCTAGTCAGCTGCTTTTCGTCTACGTCTGTTCTGTACTCTGTGGTTCTGCCGGCTGGATAACCGGAATCCGGGAGTTTGGGATCGCACTGTCTAGCCCGGGCTCTGCAACCCATTCCATCAGCCTCGCACTGAAAGCGCAGAGTCATGTCAGACGACGTGGCGCAGGCAAGGGCAGTGAGCAGATCAGAGCGGGTTGCCCCTAGGCAAGGGTGTTACAGGGGTTTAGGGTTTAGGCATGCAGACAAAGCAGGACACCCGTGCCCATGCAGGTATACGGTAGTAGACAAATAGTATACTATACTGTTACTGTACTGTCTAATATCACATGCTACCGAGTTCCCAGGCTTTGGTGCCTGCTGTGTGCATCTTGAATGGTGGGCTTGTTGGAAGGCTTGCTGCTGACCAGCAGACACAAATGCCACAGACATAAATTTGATATTCTTCTCCAGTAGGCTATATTCGCTCTCCCCTTGCAAGGGCTGTGCTTGGGATGCAGAGGGCATCATGCGTGCATGAAGAGCAGCAGATGGGTTAGCCGCGGAGAAGAAGGGGCGCAGCTGATGCTCATGATGCTGCCGCGGGGTCGCGCATCATGAGCATCAGGTGGTCCGGCCCGGCGTGGCCGAAAGTTTTGTGAAACGACAGACAAGACGTGTGTACGTCGAAGGGGTGCAGCTGACGCTCGTGATGCTGGCCCCGGGACATCGGAAATTGCTAGAAAAAGCATAGCGAAACGCTTTAAATGCCGCTGACAATGCGCGCTGAACGAAGCGAGCTACGCTTGGGGCCGAAAGCTGCCCAACAACGTGGGACACTCGGAGTAATGCTGAAACGAGCCCCAGATTTGCAAATCCGATGTCGCGGTCAGAACGAAGATGTGGCAAGCAGAGCGCAACATAGCCGCTGCAGATGTCTCTCAAATGAAGGCCACCACAACACTCAACGCAGTACAGCAGCTTCGCTGGGCCCATCATTCCTAAACATGCTCAGCCCGAGCAGGCAGTCGTCCGATTTGCTCCACATGTCTGTTCGCATGACAGGTGCTGCAAGCTAGAGCCGCCGAGGCTTTGCAGAAAACCACAACTTACTTGGCATTGGAGACCCTTTAGACTCCAGACATTATCTGAGGGCCTGCCGCCTGATCTCCGGCAGAAGAAGTTCGGTCCGCGCATCCTTTTCTTCAGCCTTGGCATGAAATTTGTGGCTGGGGACTGCCTTGGCTTTATATGGCACCACGAAGCTTGACCTTGTAAAGCACTCCGCAACAACGTTTTCGCAAGCATCGCCAGTACTAGCATTCCCCCGACCTTTAAGACTTCGCTCATCGAATTGCCAGCCTCACCGGAAATGTCAGCAGCTGTTTGCATTGTAATCATTGCGCCGAAACGCCGTATTCCATGCTGCATCGTCGCTTAGCTGGTGAAGTGCATGGAATTTGGACGTTGGTGATGCTCTGCAAAAATACACAAATACGTTGAGGTCTGATTCGCCGGTAGCACATAGGCTCGTGAACTGGGGCGCAAGAGGCACAACAGCGCTTGTGCAGACGATGCCCTGCAAGACCAAAAAGCATGCACAGGATTGGGCCGGTTTGATCCTGGGCGCAGAAGATCTCAGCGATCAGCAGCCTCCAACGCTGTACTTGGGCCTGGAAAGAGGCAAGGATCCTGCAGCAACTGAACAGCACTTTGGTCAGGTCGAGTTCCTTGCTTCACTGCTAAAGACCATCTCTTGATACTATACTGAGAAGTCTACTGGTTGTTTGGGCTGCGGAGTTATGTCAGATGCGGAAAGGCAAGTCTTGATAAACCTTCTGCTCGGCTGGTGATGAGGTAGATGGCAGATTTACTTTTCCCGTGCGCTTGCGGCAGCGGCTTGCCCTGCGGGCGATCGTGCATTACGAGTCCGATCAACAACAGTGGCTGAATCAAGTCCGACGTAAAAGTGATCGTTGTAATGTTGTAGTAAGTAATGAGTAAGTAATCATAGCTGTGGTGGCAGCACCGCCGCAAAATATCGCCAGTCGGCATGGGAACGGTGCGTGAGCAGAGAGCGCCTCGTTTGGAAATTTTGGCTCGAGTCGTCAAAGGCCTTGCGTGGTGGATGAGGGCTCCATCTTCAAGGATTTCTTTCGGGTTCTCTCGAAAAGCCCGGGCAGCGAGCCTGGCCCAACCAGCTGTTGATGCTTAGGGATCCCTTTCCTGAAACTGCCATCCATGTCGTAGAACAACCCCTGCACTCGACATCATTGCCGAATCACCCGAGCTCTCACGCAGCAAGATTGCTATTTTCGCGCTGTTTTTACAGGAACCGAACAAATTGCTGTACCTTGTCTGCAAACTACCTCTGCTCTTGCATAGAGATGAGTGTTTCCAAAGCCAGCGCTGATCGCCGCATGATGCTTGGCGTCCTAGCGCTACAGCTGATGCTGGACTCGGCGGTTTTCGCCGAACCCATTGCCATAGACAATGCCAGGACCTCAGATGCTTTCCGAAATCAAGGGATCGCGTATTTCGAACTGCCATCCCATCTGTCTAAGTGCTGCCAGGAACGGAATAGCATCGCACCCCGATGCGTAGCGGAGTAATCAAGCCCCAATTCCTCTTTGAGGGTTGGGTTTTGTCGAAGAATCAAGCACAACTAGGGAGTTGCAAAACATTCGCAAGGAAGGTGCGTGGCCCCATTGAAGCATTTTTGTTTGACATTCCGCGACTTCTAATGGACCAGAAGCCGTTTCTGGAAATCCATGTTGGCAAAATCTCAGGCCCAACGTTTATTAGATTCTAAACCTGCGCAGACAACATCTTTTGGGCCTGTCGAGACTCGCTTTCCTGAGCACGTCCAATTCCACAGCTGCGAGCTCCAGGTCGTCAGCACGTACGAACACATGGAGGCGCTGCTGCCCGGAGCAATCTGAAGATTCCGAGACATGCTGTTGAGGTGGCGTCCTTGCGGCCTTGCGGTCCTTCCGAACCACATAAACTCCCATGTGCATATGGCAAACCCCGAGCTGGAGCCGGTGTCGGCTAGAAAGTTAGGGTTGAACTTGGCTCAGCAGCTGTCTTTCTGCATTAAGTGAGCAAGTATGTAGTATGGAAGCAAGTAAGCAAGTACGTAGGTGAGCAAGCCAGTTGCCGACAATTGTGACAGCTTTATCATTTGACTTGGGAGCAACACACCGCACATCGGCCATCACGGTACTCACCTCGATTATCGGATGTGCAGGGTTGGCGCTGCAAGACGCGCATGTTCAGCGCCCTGCACCTCCCGGATGAGATGGAATTCCTGGAGACCTGGGTGTTCTTGCGACCCTTTCTGTCACTGTGTCGGAATTCGGGCCACGCTGTAGTGCCTGCAAACCACCAACTGTTTTACGAGCTGTTGAACTGTTGTTCACACCACACGTTGCAGCGCTGAGGAGAAGATGCAGAAGGCCGAGTTTCGGTGTTTTTGGATCAGTGTGGGGCATGGGGCAGCCTACGAGCAGATACTCTGAGTTTGTGTTCTCGCGCATTCACAGAAGTAGCATTGGTTTGTTGCCGAAGGGGTGTGTCAGCCGGGTCCCTATCACAAAACAGCGCTTGTCCATGCGTGCGTCTGCGATCTTCGCTTGCTCATCTGGAATATAGATACACAATCCAGAATTGCGATGGCACAGAACCTGGCTTTATGAAGAGGGTAGCTGCAGAAGGGGCCATGTGTAATATACATATCTCAAAACCGAGACGCAGCAGCCCCGTTGTGCATGCATGAAGACAGGTAGGATTGTATGTTTTTTGTTTGTTGTGTATGGTGTTCGCGGCGTAGATGACGTGTGCAGACATTACGGCAATAGGCGGCAGGTGGAACAGGAGGTCGGGGCTTACCATGTCTACAGATATGTCAGTGTATATATATATATATATATTTCCACACACACACAGAGACACGTACTATGACTTCGGAGCACTGCTCTGTGACAGCATCCTGAGGAGTTGAGTTGATGCTGCTATGCCCAGCAGAATCTGAGTAGAAATGCGTTGAACTGCATCCGAGCTTGCAGGCAGCCCTCTGGTGCAGCTACCACCCGAGCTGCTACGGGGTGCAATTCTACAACGCCGGGATGGAGGCCATCGCTTAACAGATTCTGTGGGTCAGAGCTGCGCGCCTCACAGTTCGCCATCAGTAGTGCCCAGTATAGACGGTGGAGCTACGCGTTTTGACTGCCGTGGCAGCTCCTGCAGGCGAGAAGGTGTAGCCACAAAGCTCGCAATAGCCTGCCTAGTTAAAGAATACACACCAGCATCCCCCGAGTTTGACACTGGGCGCGAGCGAAGCGACGAAATCGCCCGAGCTGAGAGCAAAGTCTTTCGAGATCCAAGCATCCCTCGAAGCGCCGAAAGCCCCGGCAGCAAAACCCAATGACGTTTTGTCTTTCGGCTGCAGGAAGACCCCATGTACTGCTTGAAGTGGTGCGGGGAGCCACAATGGTGCTTGGCGCCCATCCTGGAGCTTGTTGCTGCAAGTAGGATGTGGGCTTCGAAGAGATTGTCAGTTTCTGAATGTGGTGCATCTCCAATCTCCCAAGATCTTACGAGGCCGGGGATAATAATTAATTTTTACGGCGCTCCAAAGTCAGGTTTAGAACTCGGCATTCTGGATTCCGAAACTCTGTGCACGTAACTCCAAGCTGAGGCAACTTGCAGCACTTCTCAGCTGCGTAAAAACCGTGCAGTCCATGTCAGTGTCAACGGAGTCACGTGAGTGCCGGACCCAATCCTCCAAACCTTACAGCACAGCAAAATAGGGGACGAACACCATGTCACCGGTGCTTGAGCATGTCATCATAAGAACGGCTTTCGGATCTCCAGAACGCTTTATGCAGCCTTCGCAATGCCGATGCCCTCAGCACATTTGAGGAGAATGATGGAGTCAAGGCGGAGGAGCTGGTTCAAGACAATCTGTTTTACCTGCTCGTCCGGCACTTATGAATGGGGCACTCGACATGTTCTGGGTATCCGCGCAGGAATCACCCTTCGTTGCAAGTATCACCATCGTGAGTAGCGCCGCTATCACGCAAGCGCCGCAGCTGTGAAGCGAGGCCACCAGGCGCTGTGCACGTAAAGGAATGCTCTCGACTGCCACTATCCCACATGCTCTAGAATGTCAGCTCACCAACTTTGGAAGTACCCATGGCGACACGAGCCAAATTCTGTCTGTCCGTCACCAAGCCAATTGAGTTGCGCCCAGCTCACGCACTGAGAGGCGCTGAAGATGTCGACGGTGTGAGATGTATAGTAACTCGAAAAGCATGAGCCCTCAAAGGGTCCGAGTCCAAGCCCGTCTCAAGGTCAAGCCGCCCCATGGCTCCTACACCACGGCCCGGCCTCTGCACGGGCTGCCTGCCAGGCGGAGAGAAGACCTAAACCCTGAACCCCTGAACCCCTAAACCCAAGATTCTTAGGAAAGTTTCAGCTCGAAGGTGGTAGCCTGGTAGCTTGTGCTTGCCGGTTTTGAAGAATCCAGCGCTCCCATGTTTAAGGGGATTTCTACACTTGTTACAGTAGGTGCTTGGACGGGTTTAAGTTTAGGGTTTAGCCTAAGCAGGGTTCCGAAGCTGGTTTGGTATGTTTCGACGTTTTGCAGGTGCTCTTACGCTGGCCGTGTGAGCCCGTGCTTCGATCCCCTCGCTCGAGAGGCTTGCAAGGCCCACGAGCCCCATGGCACTGTGGGGCCAGTCTGAGGCTGTCTTTAGCGTGGCGCTGGTGCAGTAATGCAAACTAAGCTGATAATGATGATGTCAAAAGACGGCATGATGACGCAGCAACAAGACCTGTGCTGCAAGCCAGCTTCTCGCAAAGATACGTTCGGCGTGCGAGAGGAGAGCGGAAGGCCTTCAGGCCCTCAGTTAAGGAGTTCGGATCAGCACGACGACAGAGGCAGGCTAGCTGAGAAATGGTGCCTGCTTCACACTCTCTGTTTGTCGCAGAAGCGTCCAACAGCGTCGATATGTACCGTCTCCCGCAATCTGTTGCATCCGTTTAGGGTTGGAACCTTCCGCTCGTTCATAGTGACGTTTTTTCTGCGACAACGAAAAGCGCAGCACGAGTCGACTAATCAAAGCATCGTCAGTAACTAGCTGCTTTCTTGTGAAGCAACAAACAACTGAGTAATTTTCAAAACATGAACTACAAACCTCTTTGAGCAACGCGGGCCAAAGGAATGCGTTGTAAGTGCGTGGGACATGCTTCGGTGATAGCGACAGATCTACCATGGCAGTGCGGATGCCGCGTTGATCTCTGGTAGCTCACCGTTGGTCTGGCACGGAAACCCCCAAGCCCGAAGCCAATGACAAAAGGTTTCGCCCCGGTGAGCGGGCTTTCGTGTTCGCTGATGATCTCCAGCGAAGCCCAGAGTGGATGGACAATCTGGAGGCGGAATGGCAAAGGTGAGGGAAGTCTTGATGTAGACTTGCAGGCACCATGCCTATGTTCCGATGTACACGAAGTGATTGTGCTAGGGAAAGGCGTGTGTAGGAGCGGCTGCAAATGGCACACTCGCAACCCTCATGCTTGCGCCGTCTGGAGGAGTCCTCGCTGCTCCATGTGCAGCGCACGTGGGCAGAACCGAACGGAGTGGATGTGGTCCTCATTATTCCGGCCAAAGACGTGGCAGCTAAGCAGGGAAATTGAGCGGTGCCCACGTCCCATGCAAAGTGTAAAGGCTAACCCAGACACCCTTCACACGCTTTGTCGGCACGAGCACTGCGTTGTTGTTGCATGTGTAGCCAACTCCGTCTGGCCAGTATACCCGAGCCTGAATGAGACGTCGCCTCCACCTGGAAGTGTCATCTGATACCAGAAGTGCTAGCAGCTAGCAGGCAAGGCACCAGATTTCTGGAACCCAGCGCTGGGCTCTGAAGCAGATGGGCGTCCTAGCTCGAACATTATTTGGGGTTTGGGAAGAGCGAAGAGCTCGAGGAGATTTCGGATCCAAGCGATGGGGTGAATTCACATGCGCCTGATTGGAATGTCGCTGTGCAGCCTCTGTGTGTTCGTTGTCGACTTGACCTCGCTCGGCGAGGCGTCAAAGTCCACGAGGTTTCGTGGGTTCGGCCACAGCTGAACGCTGGATTCTCGACTCTCAACTCAGAGGATGGGAAGTGAGGAGAGTGTGAACGGGACTGGGTGACTAGGGTTTAGGGCCGAGACCAAGGCATCCCCCACTGGGCCGCCACGTCCTGGTGCTCGGGCCTCGGAAGCCAGAAGCTGGCGGCAGCCTTGCCACAATTTCGAGCGAATGCTTTGCCACGTTTCGTAGCCTCAGGCGTAAGTTGCGGTATAGTAATCACTAGTTCCTAAAAGCAAGACCCGCGAAGAAGAGTTGTACCGTCCTGCAGCAACCCCAAACCAAAGGACAAGGATCCGGCATCGTCAGACCTCAGGCTTTTCCATATCACTGCAACCCTGCCGAAGATACGAGACGGAAGGGGCGCCCTCGGCTCCTCAATCAATAGTAGCACCGGGACCAAAATTTCATCAAGGATGTCGAACGTCTCGACAACTGCCAGTCTGCATAGACTTGAAGATTTCATCAAAGCAGCAGATTCCACAGCTGTGCCACTGATGGCGACATGATAGGGTGTGGTGAGGATCCACATACCTGGCCAGTTGGCTGTGTGCATGGAGCATGCTGCCGATGCCCACGGCATTCCCACAGGCTACAAGAACAGGCACAGTCGACATGTCTTGTTCGCTGCTGCCTGCTCCCAAACCAGTTCACCTTCCTCTTTAAACCCTGCATCCTCAGTGCTCAGGTCGAGTCTAGGTCTGACATGGGCAGACGCGACGACAAAGATCTGACAAATACCGGCAAGAAAACCTGAGTTGTGGAGAGTGCCGAGGAGCTTCGAAGTGGGCTGGGCTTGAGCTCTTTGCCGGGTTGCCCCTCTGCCTAAGGTGTTGATCGCGATTTCTTCAAACTGCATGCTCTGGGCTTGGAGTACAAGGCGATCATCTTCTATGATTCGGATTTGTGCCTTCGCGGCAAATGGCAACCGTCAAGAGCCATCGAAGCTGAACTTCACATCCTCATCCCCGAGCATGGGACCGCTGGCTGAGACTTTATGCGGTAACGTGCGATGATGCGACGAAAGTAGTTGAAATGCAACCTGAAGTACTTCTAGGGTCTAGGGCAGATCCGAGCGTAAGGGTCTTTGGCATTCTTTGGGTGCGAGAGCCTTCAAGTCTGCACTTGGTTGCTTATCTCTGAGGTATGTGAACCCTACGAGTTTCGATCCCCTCAGTGCGGTGCCTTTGCTGAGACTGGAGCATGCACATGTGGCCCTGAGCCGCTGGGGTGGTCTACAGTAGCCAACTCCGTGGAAGTCTTCGGCTGCTTTGCCCTCCGTGTTCACCGCACCCCTTTCTCCTAAGAGAGACTGTTTGATTGATTGTTCAGCGATGTACCGCATGGCACTCACTGCGCAACTTTAAGTGTGGGGATGGCGACAGAACACCCGCTTGTGTTCCCGGCGCGGTAGTATCGGCCAAGGGTTTGCTCTGACGGCAGAAGGACTGTTGAAACGTTGCCCCAGCAGGTCGTTGTGCAGGCTTGTTCAAGGTGCTGAAACCTTCGGCTTCGAACGGTGCTACAGCGATAAGGTCCTCACACCATGACTTCATCCGTTGCACGCTCAAGCTGAAATTTGCAAAGTCTGAAGCAGACATATTTAACGGACCTGAGAGCTCGTGAGCATGAGTTGTTGATCGTCGCAGTCTAGCCATGGACGAACACAGAGAAGAAGCAGGATGGCACACATCATGAGCCCAAGAATCGCCAGGCCCCAAGCCCAGGATCTTTTTTCCAGAGCATGGGTTGCTCCTGATTTCCTGACAGCTGGCGGGGCCCCCACGCTCGAGTCGGAATTTAATCAGAATTTCTCTAAGAACTCCAGACTGCATGAGGTGTTCAACTGCGCCTACCAGGACAGCTTGCTCGTCTCATGTTTCTGATTGCTGTCTTGTTCAAGCCAGAGTCGGGGTTCCGCCGTTTGGACGCAGAGCATGTTCTAGTCGTAGGAGGGGCTGGTAGGATATGCTTGCACAAGCCTCTACATGTAGCCACCGCAACTTCGAATGAGAGCCAACTGGCAGCTGAAACCTCAAAAACCTCCATCTTCACAGCACGACCTTCCTTTCTGGCCGAACCGTCAACGGGTCAGCGTAAGACCCGTCCCAGATCGCCAGGGCTACTTCCTCGCATCGGCGTTGCACGGGGGCTTCGAGCCACCAGAACTGCGTTTGTGGGCCTGCTTTCGTTTTTGTATTTTAGGAGGAGGGAACCAACAGCATCCTAAAGATTCATCATGTTGCCCTTCTCAGACCTCGGCTCTTTCGCTCTGTGACCAAAGGCCTCTGGCTGTCGGCTTTTTTGCCTTGCGGCCTGCTCCGGCGCTACTCCGCGCGGCGCAGCGCTTCCTGAGGGTACTCCCGAGCAACAGTCTTGGTGGTTTAGGGGTTTAGGGTTTAGGGTTTAGGGTTCAACTTTGGGCTTTGTGACGACTCGAGCCCTGCGAACCCAGAGCAACCCGGAAGTCCCAAGCAGAGCCGAAGGAATTTCTCGGATTCTGCCTGAATCGACCCTCCTACCCAGACCACCAACGGGATCTAAAAAATAGATCCCCTAATTTGGGACCCTATACTACTAAGGCGTAGATCCTTTTGGTGGTCTGGGTACTGTAGAAGGCCCAGAATTTGAAGGCCAGGCTTGGGGTTTGGTTTTGGGGCCAATAGAATCCGCCAGAACGCCACCTACGATGAAGAGAGGTCGTGGAACCAGATGCTTGGCTATGGAGCCCACCCCCTGAAACAGGATCTCCGTTTCTTCTTGCGCTTCAGTTTGGGAAACAAAGCCCCTCAAGCTTCTCGATTTGCCTGGTTGCGGAAGTTGCCGGAGTTAGTTGACGGGCTGAGGTTTGGTATTGCTCGTGGCGGGCGGTTCATTTCTTAAGACACTGATTTTACGAAATCAGTGCTGACACTCTGGGACAGCTCAGAGTCTGTAGAGCCCACTCGTGCTGCAGCCCCTGGCACAATGGTAGACTTGAGCCCACAGAAACAGGGGGCTACAGGGTTCTGTAGGTAGGGGTGAATTCTGGTGACATGTCTCAATGTGGCGGCAGCCAAAGGCTTTCTTCCCTATAGGGGTTGTTCCCAGCAATCCGATCCTGCGAGTTCGCACAGAAGCTCCTTGCCGGGCCTTATAAGGTCCTAAGAGCAAGGAAGTTCCTCAAGCTGAGGCTGGGATTCGGTCCTTGGGGCTGCCTGGACAGTGCCCTCTGCTCGGGGGGTTTTCCGCTGATAGTGGGATCCTGCGGAAGATCGGCCTTGCCCTGATGAGCACCTGCAGTGGTGCTTGGGTCATCTATGCCGCCTGCTAGCTTGAATGGACCAGTTTTCGACGACTTCAGAGTCTGGACGCCAAGTGTGACACTGCCGATAGACTTTGCAACCTTTGCAGACAGGTGTCCCTGTGCAAGGTGGAAGGTTTATTCTGTTGATCCTGTCCAAAGCGACAGGTACCGACGACTGGTGCCTCCGCTCCGTACATGTCGGGGCAGAATGCGGGCAGGGCTGGGTGCCCGGTGTTTTTTAGCACTTCATGCTCCTGAAACCGTGCTGGGACTAGGAAACATGTCAAGCAAGCAGTTGTGTTTCTCCTTAGAAATTTAAGGATTCAGGCCCACCGACCGTAGATGCCGTAGCAGCAGTTGTGGTCTGAGTGTCGTGGTGTTTCTACACCACATCCATGATGTTTACATCCGCTTGGCCGCCTCAGATATTGCAATTAGCGGGGGCGGGGTTCCAGTCACGTTCTCCGAATTGGATTTTTGCAATTAGGGGGGATTCATGGGGAATGAGGTCAGCATTGAATCGTATGATTGAGTGGTCAGTTCAAACTTTAATCAACTTGTTCGGAATGGAGTAGGCTGCCTTGCTAAGGCCTTTTCTACAACCTCTTCTACCGCGCTGATGCAAAGTTCTGGATGCTTGACACAACACATGTCGCAGTTTGAACTGCAAGTACTCCCTCCCTCCCCTTCCCTCACTTCCCCTTTCCCCTCCATCCCCTTCTTCCCCTTCCCAACCCTAAGCCCTCGCCTCCCGCCCTCTTCCGGGTCTCCAGTCCCCCACGCTTAATTCAGACTTCAGCAAAAGCCAAAGTTGACCCGCATTGCAAGGAGTGCTCTCGAAGCTGAAGCCGCATCCGTCAGGCTGCTGTTCGAAGGATGGCGGTGTTCCATTTCATGCTTTCGATCAGAAGCGACTCTCAAGGTTCTAAGTAGTCTATGGGTTGGCTAAACTTGTGCACTGCACTTTTGGCCTTTCTCGAGCAGGCCGCTCGGAGTGATGCTGGACGGCCCCCTGGCTGAGTACCAGCAGCCACAGCTTCGGGATCGAAGCTTGCGAGTTTATGCGAGTTTCGCTTAAGCTTCTTGTTCAACCCCACAAGCAAATCCCTGTCTGTGGTCAGCATAGGTCGTAAACTCGTTTCTCAAACACCCATGTTCAGGGCCGATAAGAAAGCTTCGCAGCATGCGGACTAGCTTCCCAAGATCGGTTCCACTCCCCGTCGCTTCCCTTCGCGCAAATCGCTGGGTGTGAAGCAACATGTAGAGGTTGTCCTGGGCTTGGATCTCTGAAGCGAACTGGCATTGACAGGACCACTTCTGAAGTCTTCCTGCCTCCTAAGATGCTGCCCTAGCTTTGTGGCGTTGCTGCGTTCAGGGAAGTCTTCGGTGTCGACTGATGTCGGCTGCCATGCTGCAATTCCTCGAGGGCAAACGAGATAACAGTATTCAGATTCTTCCGCATTTTTCGAGAATCTGCAGCTGAGGTTGCATCTGGCTTTACGAGAATGCAATCCGCGTCCCTGGATTTCCAGAGGTGCCTCAGAGAAAAGGTGGTATGTGTTGGATTGCATATCATTGTGGATCTGCGTGGTAGCCTGCAAGGTGATCAACCCGTGCTTGGATTTGGTCTCACAGAACCGATGTAGCGAGATCGTGGTTTACCACAAGGCAGGCCTTGTGGGCGAAGTGTTGTCAAAGTTGTGCAAAGCTCGCGGACTTGCCACTTACACCCGCAGCCGACGTTTACTATTTCGGGCTCACTGCTATGGCACGAGAGGGTTAGATCTAGGCTGCAGACCTCAGGTGAGCACGAGTGTTTTCCTATTGCGACAGGTATGTTTCATCTCCACACTTCTAAACTACTGCCATGCCGCTAGTATGCCTGCCGCTCACTCATGTTACACGATCCGCTAGGTCTTGTCACTCCAGCCACTTGATCTTGCTTGTCCCACCTTGGAGCAAAGATCTCTGCGCGTCACAAGGAACCTCCGCCCAGGTCGCCCAGCCGCCTCCCCCGTCTTCCCGGCCCCCAAGATACGAGGATCCTCGTAGTTACCCCACACCGCCCAAAGATGCGCACATTTCCCCGTACGAATGTGGCGGGGTCAGGGGGAGCCCGTCGCATTATTCATATGAGTCGGACGCCGCAGACCCAGCGGTGTTGTGGATCGTTCCCATGCCTCCAGCTCCTTTGGGCAGCTTGCGGTCCTAGGCCTCTCATCCGGGCGATGCTGCTGAGTTTCTTCCCTATGCTTAAGATGCCTGTGTTCGTGCATAAACGTGCGTGTCGACGTCCCCGATCCCTGTGACAGTTGATGTCTTGGAGATGCAGAGCCGCTCCGATGGTCAAAGCGATGACAGCCGCGAGGGGTGCGAGTTGCTGGGCCCCCATATCTCTGCGACATGCCACCACGACTTACCACGACCACGTCCAGACAACCGCCTTGAATCCTCCAACATCGCAACCCGACCGGCCGAAGTGTGTCCCTAACTTTCGACCTTGGAAGTTTCAGCACGTGGTGGAAGCACAATGTTCGGATGAGCGCAGGTGGTTTATGGGGTGGGAGTGGAGGCTCTCGGGGTGGCCGCCAGAGATTTTGTGAGGCACTTCGAGCGTTTTGCTCGCAACACCCCTAAAATCGATCGCGCTCCACTGGAAATAACTGGACCTGAGCGCAAGACGTGCACCGCACCGCAGCAGGAGCCGCGCGCGCCTCGCCAGGACACGAACCAATACCTCTTCTCACTTACGCAAGAACCACAGCGAGCGGACTCCTAGCGTTACTGCACTGCTTTGGCGAAGAAGGACCTCTTCCCACAGTCCCGGGCCGCCCTAGGTCATTCAGGGACGCGGCTGCGCCGCATCGCCCGAGCTCCTCGGTGAGGCCTGGACGAAGCTGAGGCACCGCCCGAGTCCTAAGAGCTAAACCTGAGTTCCGTGCTCTCCTTGAGCTCCAACAGCTAGGGCACTTTGGAATGCCGGCAGAATCAAAACATGACTGCGGACTGACGGGTAAGGAGGACTGATTTCGTAGACTTAGAGAGGCGCGTGCAAGGATGCAGGGGACTCTTTTTACTGATGCTGACCCAAAGACCCGAAGCTGAACAGCTGGTGTAGATGGCAAAAATTTGCAAGCCACAGTTTCTTTCGTCCCAGAGTTCACGCAGCACAATCGTATCCTCGCACATTAGGCCTGAAATCCTGTTTGGAGGTTGCACCCGTCGGATGCGAACGACAGCCTGTACACGTTCTTTACATCGCCAACTATGAAGCCCGAGCTGTAGCAAAAGCCGAGATGCAGGCTTCGGGATGTGAGGCTTGGAGTCCATTCCTGAAGAAAATTCTCAGGAGGGTAGCTCCGACAGGTCTTCACGGTTTAGGGTTTATAGGGTTTAGGGGGCGATGGCAACCTTGACACTGGTTTTGGGAGGTTTCCGGCTTTTCATGGCGAGGGATGTCAGGCCTAAGACATGGTTTGTTAGGTTTCTCCACGGCTTCTGCCAGCAAGCCCTTGATTCGAGTTCCTACTAGGTCCATTCGGTGCTACCAGAAACAGAAACTCTAAAACCACACATGCAAGTAACCCTGCCTCGGCCGGAGTCATGATGGAGTGCCACTTTACATCTTTGGTAGGACGACGCGGGGCACATGTCGACTACGACGTAGCTGGCTCATGCCTTGCTTCCGTCGGCTTCCAGTCGCGGAGTGCCGCTGCCACTGAGTTGGTTTCCAGGTAGATGCCCACGCTGGGTTTAATCGAAGCAGGAGCGTCTCGCATGCCAAGCAGCCCAAAACTCTGAAGCTAGATGTTTGCCGCTTGACTTCTCATGCATGGTTGGCAGCTTTGCGTGTGTGCTGCATCGTTCCTGGCAGCGAACGGCCAAGATGCCACATGTTTGTCTGAGTACAATATGGGGAGAGAACGCTTCAGATCCGTACCTTTGAGCCCCTTGGTCTACACTCCAATAGCACACCGGCCAGACTGGTTCTGGAAGCAAATCTTCCAAAATCGTGGTATTGATCCGGAGTCAGTGAAGTCGGGATACACGGAGGCTTGGCTCGACTTTCTGTTTGCGGGGGCTCAAAAGGCGATGACTGTTTGCTCGATCGAGGGTGGTCGCTACTGGGATTGCATCCTCGATGTCCGGAAAGTCTACGATCTGGCTCAGGGCAGTGCCAGGTCCGCTTTTGCGGGGCGATTGAGAGCTGTGTTCGGCATTGCGCTAGCTGCACGAGACCAGTTGCCGGGCCATCTTCGGCTTAGCATTTGTGCTCCTGGGTCGCTCTTAGGGAGCGTCATGAATAAGAAAGCAAATGCTAATTGATTGAAGTCCCGATCATGGTAACTTGTGGTAGCTAGGTGCATCAGCACTCGAGGCTCCGGCACGCTGTACCGAAAGCCAGGTCGTCCAAGGCATTTTCCCACTGGCTGTTGATATGTTGATGGGAGAGAGGCCACAACGCATGCTTGGCAATGCAAGTTTCAAGGACGTCGTAGTGGCCCACGAAGTTGCTGGTTGGCACGACTTTGACATAGATTTCGCTATTGTCGGGGTCGACCGCTGTGGCACGACCTCCCTGCGAAAGAACATGGAACTTCATCCTGATGTGGTGATCCAAAGTGATGAGGAGGAAACCATCTTGAGTTCCGAGCTAGCCAACCGCTTGCTACCTTTGAAAGCACAAGTTGAGGAATACAACGCGCAGGTGCAGGAAAGAATGACTGCAAAGTTCAAAAAGACTGGACACCAACCTCGCATAGTTGCCAAGCTTCCCTGTGCAAAGATTTCGACCTATATTGTTACGATCGAGCACTACAACCCGATTACGGTTTGAAGGGTTTCACGGATGTCTTCACGTGTGTAGGTGATGCAGAGAAACACACCACAGCGAGCTTAGGTACTTTCCTGGTGGACCTAAGCTCTTGCTCCATTGTACGTCCGGCGCTCTTTCCTGTTCCAGGTTGGTATTGGAAATCCAACTCTTTTCCAATCTGCCCTGGTCCGGCAAAAGTTGGCTTTGATGCCACGCTTGAAACTCGGATCTCTGAGTGTACTTAAAGTAGTTTGTTGGGTATGCATTGAGGCATGGGCTGTAAGTAGATATGTACATTATGTGTATGTTTGTAACCGTTTGTAATGTAAACATGTATATCTTTTTATCTGTATACCTGCATATATATATATATATGTGTGTGTGTGTGTTTGTATATTGTATATTATATATAACATATATATATATATATACATCTATACCTGTCTGTGTGTGTATGTGTGTCTGTGTATGATCCCGGCCCGTCCTTTGCCTCTCCCAAAATGACAGTCACGAGAATATTTGCCTTGATCGGGCCTGTTGGTGTACATTTCTCGTGACGCTCGCAAGTTCGACATGCGGGGCGACTTCGCATTGGCATCGCAAGCATGGCAGCAGTAGTTGGCACCTAGTCGTGATCTCAGGGCGGGTGGATGGGAACTCCCATGTAGATTTAATTGCAACACGAACAGCATGCAATGTGTGAAATTCCTTGTCTTCTGTATCATAGTATACGATGCCGTGTTGACCTCCGTAGATAACCTAGCTTGTAAAGCATAAAAAATGGTAGAGTTTTCCGTGCTGTAACTCCGGAAGCCGACATTCGTTCCAAGTTGGTAACGGAGCGGTCGGATTACAGCTCTAGTCTTTCACCCGGAGTCCGTAGAGTAGAGCCCTAGATCTCCAGGGGTAGCTTGGGTAGAGCCATGAGTGTTGAAATTCCAGGCCACCCAGTGGGGTCACCATGCCGCACCAGCAACGACGAAGTCAGGTTCGTATGTATATATACACACACACACACAGATACCCTGCTCCTGCACGCACTCGGGAAACTGGGTCTTTTCGAACGGACACGTTTAACGAGTGCTTCACGATTTGGGTAAGATTCGATATAATTCACTTGATGTGTCGCTGGCTGCTCGCCGTGGATCAAGGTTTCATTCGGATCATGCAATGACCGGCAAAGAAAAACAGCGGGACCATAAGCAAGACATGGTGGTGTGCTTCGGGGCCGCAAAGCCGGGACTTTCCTGCTACTACATCGCACAAACCAGGGTAACCTATGCTGCGCGGTGCTGCTGCCAGCTGCGGCTTTTGCTGCTGTTGCTTCCAGGAAGATGCCGAAGATGCCCGATGCAGAGGAAGGGCGTGAGGAAGACGTCCAGGAAGACGATGAGTGCTTGCCAGGGGAAGGTTGTGAGAGTGACACGTTTGCAAGGATGAGAAAGACCAGAAGATTCCGCCCCCTAAGCCCCCGAAGCCCGTGAAAGCCAAAGCCGAGAAGATGCTGAATCAGAGCGTGAAGGATGATCCGATGATCCGAACCTTGGTCTGGCGGTTCGCTTGTCCGATTGCTCAGAGCATTATGCTGCAACATGATTCGGTTTGCAATTATCAAAACATTTCATTGCTAGGCCCAACTCAAGATACGGAAAGCGCTTCGACAGAAGAAAGGTCCATCACCTCCCGGCATGAGTGCATCATGTCTCACTATTTACTTCGTGCCCTTGGCCAACCTTCGCGAGCTTGCTGTTCGGCCCTGGCGGTTCGGGGCTTTTCTCGGTGCTTTTTCGGGCTCTTCCTCTTCTTCCTGCTCCTCTTCCTCTGGCTCCTCTTCATGCTTCGGGGTCTCCCTGGCTGTGTTGGCCGGTGCTTCCTCGGTCTCCTCGCGGGCTGCTGGTCGTTTCATAGACTTTGGGCCTTTCTCCTCCTTTTTTCCTTTGCCTCGTCCTCCCCGCCCACGTCCTCTGCCTCTCGGTTTGCCTGGAACGGAATCGGGGGATCGTGGATCCTCGGACTCCTTCCTGACGAAGGTCATGGACTGTCAGCTTGAAGACGGGCGTATCCAAGATCGAAGTTCGGTCCATTCCTCAATATATTCTGTGCTGTGGTAACTAATACGTTCAGTCCCGCTGCAGCGACCAGGTTTAACCCATATTCTGGGTGCTTCTGCTACATCTATGGTGCCCAGCAAAAACGTTTGGATATGGTGAGTCAGAAGTACGGAAATGCCTTCGAAGCCCGGTACCTAACTACCGTCCGAAGACTATAACCTATATACCTGGCGCCGCCGGAATCCACGCACAGACTAAGGTCAATCAAAAGGATGGTGCCAGCCTGGGCTGGACGAAGTTCGACTCGTTGGCCAAAGCGCCTGGTGCTTGGCATTTTGCAACCGTTGCTGATTTGAGTCAGCTGGGGTTGAGAGCAAGCCTTTGGGCCTAGGTCGGAAGCAGCTTGCAACTGGTGACACAACAGGTGCCTCTCGTGACTGAGACCTTGGTCTAAATTTGATTGTAAGACCGGCTTTTATCGGCTGATTCTTGCAGCAATCGCCAGCAGTGTGGATCAGTCCACACGGGGACAAAACCAATAAACTCTTCCTGCTTACTTCGTGGTGATGTGGGCTCCGATCGTTGATACACAATTTGTTACACCTTGAGCCTTGGTCCTTGAGTGAGATAATCTGGTTCCAGCAAGGTGCTGTTCTGCTTAGGTGGTAAAGAAATGCCGGCTTGGATGCTGAACGACTTGGCCCTTTCACGGGACTGGTTGTTTGCTCTGGCTCGTGCCGGTTTCCCATGCATCCTGTTATTTTTTCCCCCTCGGTTAGCGTTACGGGAAGCCTCAATTCGTTTCATAGAAGCTGAACCCTCCTATCCCGAACCTATTCTTCTCAGGTTACACCTCGCCGATTGCCTCGCACAGAATACAGCCGGGAGGAATGAGAACGGGCCCGCAAGATTGCGTTTTGCCGTGGTAGCTCCGTCGACGTCTGTGTCGACTCCGAGACTTCCTGCGAACCAAAACTGGATGGTGGTGCTTGCGAAGGCCTGAGCGTTGCTGTGTCCCTCCTGGGTGGACGAGGACGTGGTGGTGGAGCAATTGCCGTGGACGGTGGTAATGCAAGCAGGCCATGCGTGGGCAAATGCGAAAACATTAAAAGAAGTTGAGTATGTATGACATCGTGACTGTTTCTCGAGAGAAGAAAACAGCTTCGTCGGGATGAGGTTTGAAAGCAGTGCGAGAGCAAAGTTGAAACATTTGTGGCTCAAGATCAAAGCTCAGGAGCTTCGAAGCTGAGAAAGTTGGAGGCCCGAATGTTGCAGCTTATTTTCCGCTGCGGCTTGTCTTGTGGGTCGAGTTTGTCAAAGGCGGGATTCTGGAAAGCCTTCGTCCAGATTAAGCTGTCTCAAACTCAGAGTCTGGCTCTGCCGACTTTGTGGGGGCCAGGCTTATTTCTGGGTCAGCGCTTTGCGCGAGTGATAGCCTGAGGCTCGTGGGATTAACATTGATAGACTGGCCTGGAGCAGAAATGGTAAAGCCCAGAAGTTGGATGGTTGACCCATAGAAGAACAAGTGCATAAACTCCCGATGTCAATGCAGACTCTCATGCTTCAGGTCAGACAAGATCAGTCTGCGGTCTACATATCGGCAGATAAAAATTTCAGATTGCTGGGAGTCGAACGTCTGGATGGACTGAAGCTGAGAATTCCATTCAGCTTGCCACGCCAGCTCTCGTTGCATGACAGGGATTCCGCTTAGCGCTGGGCTGATTTGATTGCCAATGCATGTACCTCGGTGCTGACGAAAACTTCGTCCAGCAGCTTGAAAAATTCCTGCGTCAAAAGACAACTAGGTGTGGGACTCTCAGAGTCTTAACCCTGCCGAGTGTGCCGGATGCGAGGTTTGCCTGGCCAGGCAGTTTCCATATTGGGCTGCTTCTTGAGCGAATCAACAATGTCAACGATGTCATTGGAATATCCGAGATCAAGATATTGCCCGATCAGGAACTTCAAAGACGTTAAAGTCTGTTGTCTCGGCGCGGAGTTGAAGAATCCAATTAAATCGTCGTTGACTTCGCTGAGATGAAGTTCTTTCAAAGAAAGCATGCAAGTCAGACCACAACTGTGGTGTTGATTGAAGTCCGAGCGACTTGTCCCAAGTCAAGCGAACCATGAGCATTATAGCTTGGGAGGCTGCTTGCGTTTGTTTTTTGGTCCAGTGCTAAGACATGTTGATGCCGTTCACGCCAGCACTCAAACTGTTGGCACCTTGAGAAAGGTCTGCCGGGATGGAAAAATCTATACGCTGCACTACCTGCTCCTAGAAAACCGCGCGATGAAGAAACAATGATCCGGGAGGAGATTTTTATGCGACTCGCAATGGCGTGGGATTGCAGCATCAAAAGTCCTCGAGATTCTGATGAGGTTTCTCTCTCGCCTTGAATGACGGTATGTGAAAAGGCACAAGAATGTGCTTAAACCGAAGAATTTGCTTCTTATTCGCTGAAACGCAGGACTTGAAAAAAGTGGTCTGCAGTGAGCTGAAGCTCAAGTCCCATGGCTCCTTTGGGCCATGTCATGTTCCGAAACTTGCACGCTGCTTTCAAACTTTGGCGCGCTAAGCTCAAGGTTATTGCTGAGACGGATCAGCCCGCAAATCTCTTCTGGGAGCCATCGTTGGGGTCGAATTTGCTTAGTCACAGCCGCTTCGAACAACTTCTTAGTGAAACTGGCTAAATCGTAAAGCATGTTCCATGCTTTTTGTCCGGGTAATTGGGTTGTTGCATCGGATACAGCTTCTTGCGGAGCTTAATCCACAGTCTGCGCCCGAACTTCGCGTGTGCGGTTAATGAACGGATAGTTAAGCTTGGGCTTTCAGGAGCCAATGAGCATATGGTCCAAGATCCATGCCTGGCCATAAGTTTCGCAAGTTGAAACTTGGATGGTGCTAAAGGGCTCAAAAGATCCGCTACTATGCCAGAATGTTAAACATTACTGCCTAGTAGGAACCCACAGTTTGTTGTGTAGGAAAATGTGTGGAGTGAGCCAGGAAGCAACTTCCGCGCCTAGGCTCAAGGACCGAACACTCCAGTGCGGTGGCAAGGAAAAGTGAGCCGCCGCTGTGTGAGTAGAAAGCCCTTAGGAAACCCCGTTCTTTAACATGGTAGCGGAGCTGCCTGGATCAGAGACCTTGGCAGCGATGATGCTACTCCTGT